GGAGTTATATTCATTTTATATTCTTTGGGATTAAAGAATTGCAATTCTGGAAGCCCAAATTCTGGCAGAAACCCAAATAGTGTCCCAAAGGTAAAGACAAAGGGCTTTTATGAGAAAAGAAAAGAACTAATTACATGAATTGAAGAAATTCCGATTGTTGCTAATAAGTTGAGTTCCTCTTTAGCTATAAATGGTTGGATACTGATTCTATCATCAGATAGAGAATCCATAATCATCGATCCTTACGGTCAGGATATCTGCTTTCCTGCTGGCTTTACAAACAGTTGTGATAAGACAATGTTTGTTTGGGTCATTTCAAAGGTCGGGTCTGATTCAAACAGTCCACAGATTCAAGGAGCAGGACATGCAAGACTGTTCCTCTGGAACGGCTGCTCTGGATTCACTTTAAATGGCTCCACTTAGGTCAACTTTCACACTAGTCAGTGCCTCCTACGGGTATGTTTCAGATTATTTGCACTAGCAAATGGGGCTGGCCTTAGAAGTACACACTGAAATGCCCAACCTCTGTGGGAAGCACGTGTGCGCGAGCACACACACACACACACACACACACACACACACACACACACAGGATCATACAGCCTCCAGTTTAATCCATGGTTCACCTAGGGAGGAAAGAGAATAGAAGGAGGAAATCGAGATAGTGGTCAATATTCAAAAGTTCACATAGGCCGAGAGTTCATATCTGCAAGGACTTCCAAATTCTGTGTAAATAAAGAGTGGCCTAGGAATTGGGAGCTGGACTGAAGAAACAAGGAAGAGGCTGGTATCAGTGGGTTCAGTCTGTAGTGAACAACCTAACCCCGCACTGCTCCTGGGTCACAGGACCATCAGGCACAGACGCTCAGCACTTCCTATGGGTGGCCTGTCTCTCCCCTGCAGCCTTCATTGCGTCCACCTCACACTTCGCTGCCTGGCCTGCTCTTGATTATCCCAGCCCTTGATCCTTGGACTCACTGCCTATTTATAGACTGGCAGTTGCAGTCCCAACACTTAATTTTATCTCTGGCCCTGAATCTGGCTTCCGTCCTCACCCACAATTTGCATTTACTCCCTTTAAAGCTGCTGCTTTCCTCTCTCAGTCCAATATCTCCCCTCACTCATACTGCTCAGTTGCAGGTCCTGACTTGGCTCCCATAGAAAGGAATCCTTAAGAGAGACTGTTAACCAAGTATAAAATTGCTAAGTATAGTGAAATAGTGAAAAAGAGTGGTTTAATGTATCACCCAGGTAGTTACAGCAGGAAGTGAATAGAACTCGAAGGGTTGAATGAGCAAAGGGAAAGAGGTGGAAACGTGGAAGAGGAGCCCACGGGCTGAAACTCAGACCTCTAAGGAGGGGTCTGCTTGGCTTGGTGTCTCTGTTAGGGGACGTGATGAGGCTGGTTCTGCTGTCTCTGAGATAATGCAAAATGATGCCAATTGTGCAAAATGTAAGTCAGATGCAGGTGCTGCTAAGGAACTGCTGGTGTTGGAGTGAAGAAGGGTTACTGGGGTGGTGCTCACAAGAAAAGGAAGTAGACAGGAAGCCCCATAAGGAACAAACAGAAAGAAGCAAGTCCCTTCTTCCTCCTCCAGCCCCTCTATAGCCTGTTCTTGGCAGAGCCCGACTAGGAGTCAGCTGTGGAAGATGCACGTGGTTTGCCCCAGCATCACAGAGCTGATATAGAAGAGTAGGTTTTACGCTGATTGACAATAATTCAATATCTGGCAGGAAGGCTTCTCCTGTCTTCCACAAATATCTGAGTGCTTACTCTGTTCTAAGCATAGAAGACAGAACCACGAGTAAAACAATAATATTAATTTCTCCCTGAGTAGCTTACATTATATTATATACACCACAGTGGGGAAAGAGAGATGAACAAGAAGGAAATAAATAAAAATTAGCATGTTAGGTGGTAAGTGCTCTCAGGAAAGATAAAAGCAGTGAAGGTGACAGGAGTGCTGAGGGGCAGGAAGAGAACAGGTATCAATTTTAAACCGGCTGTTCAGGAAAGGGCTGAAAAAAATAAAGACAAGAGAGCAAAGACAGGGAGTGAGTCATGCAAATATTTGAGGAAAGAGCATTCTAGATAAGGGCAGGGTAGAGGGGAAGGCCGCTTAGGTAGGGCCTTATCTACCATTGTAAGGCCTGTGGCCGTTACCATGGTGACGTGGGCAGTTATGGAGTACAGAAGTGACATGATCTGACTTATGGAAGGCAGCTATGCTCACCACTATACCACCACCGTCTTCTGATCTGACTTATGTTTTGAAGGATCCTTCAGGGTGCTCTTTGGAGATTAGATTGGTCTCCTTGGATTCATTCACCTGGGTCCTGCCAACAGGACCTTAATTCTGGACCTAGGGTCTTGCTTGCCACATACATCATTTCTCTCTCTCACTGCAGTGGGAGGGAGGCCTCAGCCAGGCTGCAATGCCGCTGCTCTTGGGCTGCAACCTCACTCCACAATCACAACCTATCTTCTTGTTTGTTTTAGTCCCCGCTGAATTGAATAGTCTCTCCTCTAGTCGGTCTACTTCTCTGGTGGTACATTTGGTCTTGACAGAGTTGGTGGTGGCTTCATATCTAACATTTGTTCATTCTTTCAACAAATATGTATTGAAAACCTATGATGTGTCAAGTGTTCATGCAGGTATGGTGATACGACAGTGGACTAGACACATTAGCTCCCTGTTCTAGAAGTGGCAATGGTGGGTGATACAGAAATTTAAAAACCCTATATGGAAGATAATTTCAGAGAGTGGTAAATGAGGTGAATATGACAATGTGACTGCTGGCTGCTTGAGACTGAGCAGTCAGGGTCCACCTTTATAATCAGGTGATATTTGGGTAGACACCTGAATGACAAGAATCAGTCATGTGAAAATCTGGGATCAGCAAACACTGATGGACATCCACACTTGGGACTCCTCTTCATGGGGTGACGTGCTCCGTCATCTTCTTAGAGCCAGAGGAAGGTGCTTGAAAATCCCTTATTATACGTCTCTCTCTCTCTAATATTTTACTGGGGACCACAGAATAATTGATATTTTAATGTGTTCTGATAAGGTATCAAATACAGATACTTTTCCTTTTTGAATATTTTACCAAGTGCCATGCACAGGGACAAAAAAGCATCATGTAGAATCTCTTAGCTCTCAGGCTCATATCATGCTCTGGGGCAGCCCCTATTAGGCCCGAAGGTAGCAGAGCCTTTAAAAAGTTATTTCAAAATAACTATAGATTCATAGAAAGTTGCAAAAAAATTTTCAGGGAGGTCCCATGTACCTTTAACCCAGTTTCCCCCAATGATAATACCTTGCATAAACATAGTGCAGTATGAAAACCAGGAAATAAAGACATGGGTATCATCCATGGAGCTTATTCAGATTTCACCAATTTTATATGCACTCATTTGTGTGTGTGTGTGCGTGTGTGTGTGTGTAGTGTTATGCAATTTTATGTAACCCTTACCACAATCAAGATACAGAAATGTTTCATATACACAAGGCTCCTCCCTGCTATCCATTTGTAGCTACACCCAACTCATTTGTAGCTACATCCCTCCTCCCCATACCTAATCATTGACAACTGCTAACCTTTTTTTATGTCTCTACATTTGTTAATTTAAGAGTGTTTTATAAATAGAATTATACAGTTTTTACTCAGCATAATGTTCCTCATTCAACCTAAATTGTTGCATGTATTGATAGTTCATTTCTTTTTATTGTTGAGTAGTATTCCATGGTATGGATGTACTACATACAGGTTAACTATTCATCTGTTCAAAAACATTTGGGTTGTTTCCAGTGTTTGGCTATTATGAATAAAGCCACTATAAACATTCATACACAAGTTTTGTGTAGATACAGGTTTTCATTTCTAAGGGATTATGTCCAGGAATACAATTGCTGGTTTGTATGGTAGACACAAGCTTATTAAATTATTTTAAAAAAGAAACTGGCAAACTGTTTTTCAGAGTGGCTGTGCCATTGCATATTCCCAATAATGCATGAATGAACCAGTTTTTCTGCATCTTCGCCAGTATTTGGTATTACCACTTTTTTTAAAAAACCATTTTGATAGGTATGTAGTGATAGCGATACCTCATTTGTGTTTTTTTCCTTTCCTCAATGGCTAATAATATTGAATATATTTTCATGTGCTTATGTGCCATGTGTGTATCATTTTCAGGAAATGTCTGTTCGTGTCTTTTGGCAAACTTTGGAAAGTTCACACATCGCTATATCGATTCTCCATCAAGGTTGGGACCTTGCTCACAAACTTCAGTTAGCTCTAATTCTTGGCTGATTTCTTTAACTCTGAATCTGAAGGTACTTTCTATGGGGTGAAAGGCGGCTCTGCATTTTTTTTTTTAATCAAAAAACAGTGCCATCTCAGATGCAGGGAAGGGGCGCAGAATTGCAACCCCGAGTTTATTCACGATTTGCAGCCGGGTAAGTTAAGTGAGCAGCGGTACGTCCTCGCTTTGCGCTCGGAGACTGCAGGGAGGCAGTTACAGGCATGCAGACATTCAGGCTGGTGGGACGCAGGAAGCCAGCAAAGCCAGGAGCCCCTGCCTCCGAACCCGTAACAATGGCAGGGGTGCTCCCCAAAACAACCATCAGGATACCTAAGAGCGAAAGGGCTGGGATCCATCCCGCCTTACTTTTTTAAGTGCAGGATCTCCAGGCCGAAGCGCTTGCGGGGAAGGTGTTCCACCGCCCAGATAGGGGTGGGCCTTTCCCTGCAGGGCGAACCGCCCCGCCTCGGCCCGCCCAGACGCTAGTCTCCAGGTGGGGTCTGGGTCGGGAACACCCCGCCCCCGTTGCCAGGCGACGGGGGAGGAGCCGGAAGGGGAGCTCGTCTGAGAGGCGGCGGCGCAGCCGCGCTGGCTCCCCCTCCCGCCCGCGCCTCGCTCCGCCCCCGCCCTCCCGCCGAGCTGCGCACGCGTCGCCGAGCGGCCGCCTCCGCCCCTGCCCGCCTGGAGGCGGGGCTGCGCGTCCCGCACGGGCTACTCTCGGGTCGGAGCTGCCCCGCAGCGGGTGAACCGAGCGGCCTCGAGGAAGGGGTGCGGCAGGACCCTCGCCAGAAGCAGGCGCGCTGGGGGCGGTCTCCGTGCCCACCGCGGCGGAGGAAGATGGTGTTCGAGTCGGTGGTCGTGGATGTGTTGAACCGGTTCTTGGGGGACTATGTGGTGAACCTGGACACGTCCCAGCTCACTCTGGGCATCTGGGGAGGTAACGAGACGGTCGCCGGCCCTCAGTCCTGCCTCCTTCCCGGCCTCCCATTGCGCGAGCGGGGCCCTACCCTCTTGGGTCCTCGGGCCCCCGGCTGGCCCGGCGTCGCCACCTGCCACCGCCCTCCGGGGTCAAATTACGTAAAGCCGGGCGACAGTTCCAGGCCTTCGCCCGCGAGGTGTTTATTTTTGGCAGGAGGGGCAGGGGGTGTAGGTGCTGGGGGGAAAGGCCCTCTTTTTTCGAGCCGTGTGGCCGAGGGTCCCTTAGTTGCACTCTCTGGGTCTGGAGTTCAGATTCCTCCCCTCGTGGCCCGGCGGCAGTGGTGCTGGGCGCGGGGCGGCAGCCAGGCGCACCGGTGCTCGGTCTCCATCCCTGTCATTCCCCCCTTGGGCTGTGACGGAGGGCCCGCGAGTGTCGCACGCCGCCTCGCACGTGAAGGCAACACGCTGTGGCCAAGACGCCCTGCCCTCTTCCTTCCTGCCCCGGCCTCTGCGTGCTGCCGGCCGGGCTGTGTGCTCGGGCCACGCCACCGGGCTTGCTCGTCTGGATTCCGCTGATAAGAAAAAGCGAAACTCCTGTGCGTAATAACCCAAAGGGGCGGTTGTGTTTTCAGTTCACAATCTGACCCAGGAAGGTCTTAACTAGTAGGTTTGTGAGGCTTCGGGGTGGTGGGTTGGAGAGAATTACGGACTTTTTAAAGAAACGAGGTGCAGCTGTGCAACCTCTCAGATCTGCAAAAGACAGGGCTGAAACCTGCGCTTCACGCTGCTGCCTAGACAGTGAAGACAGTGAAGCTTTACTTCGTATCTGTGTACTCCAGTGCTTTACCTTTTTTAAAGCCTCATTTTTAGTGCTTTCATGTTTGTAATATGCCCTTAGAATCAGATTCCTTTTCTTTATGAAATGAATCTCCCAGACCAAGGTTAGGGTTATTTTTTTTTTAATTTTTTTTTTTTTGTGTGTGTGAATAGTGTGTGTGTATTTAATAAATTAACTATTCTTGAATATGGACATACTTTCAGACTTCTTCTAAAATACTTTTTAATCTTGATTTTTTTTTCCCCCTCTATGACATAGTGTAATCGTAAAGAAGACCTCTTGTTACTTACTAATCTTGGTACCTCGTTCCATAATAGACTATAAGAACTAGGGGCATAAGTGCTAGTTCAACATCTCTGATGAGTAACAGAAAGTTGCATATTGTTTCATCTGTGCTGCTTCTCATTTGCAAAGTTAAAATAACAAAACGTGTCTCCACCAACCTCAGAAGGAAGCCATAAGAACATTTCGTGGTGTACTTTGATTTATTGTGGAAGTTTGATTCTACATACAAGGTGTCCCGGTCTGGCAACACACGGAGGCTGGGATTTATCCTGGGATTTGATTATTTAAAATTTACATAAATTACAATTCACCCTTGTGATGTACAGTACTATCTGTCTTGACAAATGCAAAGATGTGTATACACCAGCTGTCATGATAGGGAAGAGGTCCAATAAGACTCCCAAATTCCCTCTGCTGCCCTTTTGCAATCCATTGCACCCAGCCCCCAACCCTCCTCTGGGAACCACTGTTTTGCCTCCATCCCTACAGTTTTATTTTTTCTAGAGTGCTATGTAAATGGAATTATATGATGTGGCTTTTGGGGTCTGGCTTCTTTTAGTTTCACTTCTTTCACGTAACTTCTTATGTAAAATGAATTTGAGAATTACCCATGTGTTGCATACATCGGCATTTCATTCTTACACTATTTAGTAGTACTTTCGTTGTGTGATTGTACTATAAATGTTTATCTCTTCATGGGTTGAAGGACATTTCAATTTTTGGTAATTATGAAGAGCTGCCATAAACATTCATGTACTGGTTTTTGTGTGATCATAAATTTTTATTTCATTGGATAAATATCTAAAAGTGGGATTTCAAGGTCATATGGTAAGTGTATATTTAATTTATGTGAAGCAATGAAACTGGTTTTCAGAGTAGCTTTACATTTTGAAGTCTCCCCAGCATTGTATGAGTGCTTAAATGCTCTGTACCCTTTCTAGCATTTAGTAGTGTCATTTAAAAAAAAATTATTTATTTTTTGCCATTCTAGTAGGTACATAGTGATAAAGTGTTATGGTTTGAATTTTTACTTCCTTAGTAATTGAAGTTGTTGAACTTCTTGTTCTTTGCTGTTTGTATATTCCGTTGAAGTGTCTTTGTCTTTTGCTTATTTAATTTTTTTCTTTTTCTATTGATATTAATTCACATTTTAAATTCACCCTTTTAACATGGAAAGTGTTTTTTAGTATAGTCAAAACATTGTGCAATTATCAACAATGTCTAATTCTAGAATATTAAAAAAATATTTATTATTGAAAGTATTACCCATGTCTCCTTTTTCCCCTATTGATCTCTCCCTACTCACTCCCCCCGAGCACCTGTTCCTGCCGCCTTACTGTCTGTGTCCTTTGGTTATGCTTTGTATGCATGCGAGTCTTGGTTGATCTCTCTCTTTCTTTCTCTCTCTCTCTTTTTTTTTAGTCCTCACCTGAGGATACCTTTCATTGACCTTTAGAGAGTGGAAGAGAGAGGGAAAGCCAGAGAGAAACGTCCATGTGAGAGAGACACATGGATTGGTTGCCTCCCACACGAGCCCTGAGCAGGGCCCAGGCCAGGGAGGAGCCTGCAACCAAGATACTCGCCCTTGACCAGAATCGAATCTGGGACGTTCCATCCACTGAGCCAAAGCTGGTTGATCTCTTAACCTCTGCCTTCCCTCTGAGGCTCGATGTGAGGGTCCATGCTTCTATGTCTCTGGATCTATTTTAGTTAATCAGATTATATTGGTCATTATATTCCACAAATGAGTGAGATCATGTGATATTTATCTTTCTCCGACCGGCTCATTTCTCTAGCATAATGCTCTCCAGGTCCATCCATGCTGTTGCACGTGGTAAGAGTTCCTTCTTTTTTTTTTTTTTTTTTTTTTTTTTACAGCAGTATAGTATTTCATTGTGTAGATGTACCACAGTTTTTTAATCTACTCATCTTCTGATGGGCACTTAGGCTGTTTCTAAATCTTAGTTATTGTAAATTGTGCTGCTATGAATCTAGCCTTTGCATATATCCTTTCTGATTGGTGTTTCTGATTTCTTGGGATATAGTCCAAGAAGTGGGATCACTGGGTCAAATGGGAGTTCCATTTTTAATTTTTTAAAAAATATATATTTTATTGATTTTTTACAGAGAGGAAGGGAGAGGGATAAAGATAGAAACATTGATGAGAGAGAAACATCCATCAGCTGCCTCCTGCATACCTCCTACTGGGGATGTGCCCGCAACCAAGGTACATGCCCTTGACCGGAATCGAACCTGGGACTCTTCAGTCCGCAGGCTGATGCTCTATCCACTGAGCCAATCCGGTTAGGGCCCATTTTTCACTTTTTGAGGAAACTCCATACTGTTTTCCTCAGTGGCTGCATCAGTCTGCATTCCCACCAGCAGTGCAGAAGGGTTCCTTTTTCTCCACATCCTCTCCAACACTTGTTGTTTGTTGATTTGTTGATGATAGCCATTCTGACAGGTGTGAGATGGTACCTCATTGTTGTTTTGATTTGCATCTCTTGGATGATTATTGACTTTGAGCATGTTTTCATATGCCTCTTGCCTTCTGAATGTCCACTTTAGAAAAGTGCCTATTTAAGTCCTTTGCCCATTTTTTGATTGGATTTTTATCTTACTTTTGTTAAGTTGTATGAATTCCCTGCAAATTTTGGAGATTAGGCCCTTATCAGATATAACATTGGCAAATATGTTCTCCCATGCATGAGCTTTCTTGTTGTTTTGTTGATGGTTTCTTTTGCTGTGCAGAAGCTTTTTATTTTTATGTAGTCCTATTTGTGTATTTCTCCTTAGTTTCCATTGTCCTAGGAGCTGCTGCATAGGTAAAGATATTGCAACGACATATGTCTGATATTTTGCTGCCTATGGATTCTTCTAAGATTTTTATGGTTTCTCATCTTATGTTTAAGTCCTTTGTCCATTTTGAGTTTATTTTTGTGTATGGTGTAAGTTGGTGTTCTAGTTTCATTAGAAAGATCATACACCATGACCAAGTGGGATTTATTCCAGGGATGCAAGGCTGGTACAATATTCGGAAATCAGTAAACCTGACACATCACATAAACAAATTGAGAGACAGAAATCACAATCATAACAATTGATGCAGAAAAGGCATTTGACAAAATGCAATACCCATTCCTGATAAAAACTTTCAGCAAAGTGGGAATATAGAGATCAGACCTCAACATAATAAAAACCTTACATGACAAACCTACAGCCAACATCATACTCATGGGCAAAAACTAAAATCATTTCCCTTAATAATGGGAACAAGACAGGGATGCCCACTTTCACCACTCTTGTTTGACATAGTACTGGAAATGCTAGCCGTAGTGACTAGACAAGAAGAAAAATAAAAGGCATCTCCAAATTGGAAAAGAAGAATAAAACTGTCATTTGCAGATGACATGATATTGTACATAGAAAACCCTAAAGACTCCATCAAAAAACTGCTATACTTAATAAATGAATTCGGCAATGTAGCAGGATACAAAATTAACACCCAGAAATCTATGGCTTTTTTATACACCAATAATGAACACACAGAAAGAGAAACTAAAAACAAAACAATTCTATTTACCATTGCAACAAATAAATCTAGATACCTAGGAATAAACTTAACTAAGGAGGTAAAAGACCTGTAATTAGAAAATTACAGGGCATTGAAAAAAGAGATAGAGGAAGACATAAACAAATGGAAGAATGTATCGTGTTCATCGATTGGTAGAATCAACATCATTAAAATGTCCATACTACCCAAAACGATCTATAGATTCAATGCAATCCACATTAAAATACCAATTACATATTTCACAGACCTAGAGAAAACACTTCAAAAATTCATATGGAATAAAAAAAGACTTCAAATAGCTGCAGCAATCCTGAGAAAGAAG